GATGACAGCAGTGAAGATGTACTCTTGATGACAGTAGTGAAGATGTACTCTTGATGACAGTAGTGAAGATGTACTCTTGATGACAGTAGTGAAGATGTACTCTTGATGACAGTAGTGAAGATGTACTCTTGATGACAGTAGTGAAGATGTACTCTTGATGACAACAGTGAAGATGTACTCTTGATGACAGCAGAGAAGATGTACTCTTGATGACAGTAGTGAAGATGTACTCTTGATGACAGCAGTGAAGATGTACCTTGATGACAGAGAGATTACTCTTGATGACAGCAGTAGAAGATGTACTCTTGATGACAGTAGGAAGATGTACTCTTGATGACATAGTGAAGATAGTACTCTGATGACAGTAGTGAAGATGTACTCTTGATGACAGCAGTGAAGATGTACTCTTGCAGCAGGAAGATGTACTCTTGATGACAGCAGTGAAGATGTACTCTTGATGACAGTAGTGAAGATGTACTCTGATGACAGCAGAGAAGATGTACTCTTGATGACAGTAGTGAAGATGTACTATTGATGACAGCAGTGAAGATGTACTCTTGATGACAGTAGTGAAGATGTACTCTTGATGACAGTAGTGAAGATGTACTCTTGATGACAGCAGAGAAGATGTACTCTTGATGAAAAGTAGAGATGATGAGTAGTGAAACTCTTGATGACAGCAGAGAAGATGTACTCTTGATGACAGTAGTGAAGATGTACTCTTGATGACAGCAGAGAAGATGTACTCTTGATGACAGTAGTGAAGATGTACTCTTGATGACAGCAGTGAAGATGTACTCATTGATGACAGCAGGAGATGTACCTTGATGACATGTAGAAGATGTACTCTTGATGACAACAGGAAGATGTACTCTTGATGACAGTGAAGATGTACTTGATGACAGTAGGAAGTGTACTTGATGAGAGCAGTGAAGATGTACTCTTGATGACAGCAGAGAAGATGTACTCATGATGACAGCAGTGAAGATGTACTCTTGATGACAGTAAAGAAGATGTACTCTTGATGAGAGCAGAGAAGATGTACTCTTGATGAGAGCAGAGAAGATGTACTCTTGATGAGAGCAGAGAAGATGTACTCTTGATGACAGCAGTGAAGATGTACTCTTGATGACAGCAGTGAAGATGTACTCTTGATGACAGCAGTGAAGATGTACTCTTGATGAGAGCAGAGAAGATGTACTCTTGATGACAGCAGTGAGATGTACTCTTGATGACAGCAGAGAAGATGTACTCTTGATGACAGCAGTGAAGATGTACTCTTGATGACAACAGTGAAGATGTACTCTTGATGACAGCAGTGAAGATGTACTCTTGATGATAGCAGTGAAGATGTACTCTTGATGACAACAGTGAAGATGTACTCTTGATGACGCAGTGAGATGTACTCTTGATGAAGCAGTGAAGATGTACTCTCTGATGACAACAGTGAAGATGCTACTCTTGATGATAGCTTAGTGAAGTGTACTCTGATGACAGCATGAAGATGTATCTAATTGCACACGTGAGATGTACTCTTGATGACTCATACATCCCAGACTGCTACTCTCTGATACATGATCAGCTCGACACAGTAATAGTAACCTTGACTACTGAAGATGTACTCTTGATGACACCCCAGTGTAATCTACTCTTGATGACAGTAGTAACTGTCTCTGTGACCACAGAATAATCTCTGATGACAGCTAGTAAAGATTACTCTGTGATCATAAGTGAAGATGTACTCATGATGACATCAGTGAAAGAGTACCTTGATGCAGTAGTAAGCTGTACTAACTTGAGACACATCAAGATTACTCTTGATGACACAGATAGATTACTCTTATAAACACAAAGATGTACTCTTGATCAGCAGAGACTCCCTGACAGCAATGTAATTCTTGATGAGACAGATAAGATGTACTCTTGATGACAGCCCATAGATGTACCCTCTGATACAGCAGTAGATGTACTCTTGATACAGCAGAAGATGATACTCTCCCTCAGAACAAGAAATTGTACTCTTGAACATGCATAAACCTTAGACGCAAGATGTACACCCTTGATGACAGCAAGAAGATGTACCTCATGATGACAGCATTGTACTATCTTATGACCAGCATAATTACCTCTCGATGCGACACACATCTACTCTCTGCCAGCTAACTATTCTTAATACGCACCCAGTACATCGATACCTCAGCTCCACATCATCATACACCTCCTTACCAGCCTCCACCTTATCATTTCAGTCCACATTCTACTCCCTCCAGCCTCCACCTATCTTACACCTCCCTCCACCTCCACCTATCATCATACACCTCCCTCCAGCCTCCACCTATCATCATACACCCCCTCCAGCCTCCACCTATCATCATACACCTCCCTCCACCTCCACCTTATCATCATACACCTCCCTCCAGCCTCCGCCTATCATCATACACCTCCCTCCAGCCTCCACCTATCATCATACACCTCCTCCAGCCTCCGCCTATCATCATACACCTCCCTCCACCTCCACCTATCATCATACACCTCCCTCCTAGCCTCCCCTATCATCATACACCTCCCTCCAGCCTCCACCTATCATCATACACCTCCCTCCAGCCTCCGCCTATCATCATACACCTCCCTCCAGCCTCCACCTATCATCATACACCTCCCTCCAGCCTCCGCCTATCATCAAACACCTCCCTCCAGCCTCCACCTATCATCATACACCTCCCTCCAGCCTCGCCTATCATCATACACCTCCCTCAGCCTCCACCTATCATCATACACCTCCCTCCAGCCTCGCCTATCATCATACACCTCCCTCCAGCCTCCACCTACACCATACACCTCCCTCCAGCCTCCGCCTATCATCATACACCTCCCTCCAGCCTCCCCTATCATCATACACCTCCCTCCAGCCTCCACCTATCATCATACACCTCCCTCCAGCTCCCCCCTATCATCATACACCTCCCTCCAGCCTCCACCTATCATCATAACACCTCCCTCCAGCCTCCGCCTATCATCATACACCTCCCTCCAGCCTCCACCTATCATCATACACCTCCCTCCAGCCTCCACCTATCATCCATACACCTCCCTCCAGCCTCCCCTATCATCATACACCTCCTCCAGCCTCCCCTATCATCATACACTCCCTCCAGCCTCCACCTATCATCATACACCTCCCTCCAGCCTCCACCTATCATCATACACCTCCCTCCAGCCTCCACCTATCATCATACACCCCCTCCAGCCTCCCCTATCATCATACACATCCTCCAGCCTCCACCTATCATCATACACCTCCCTCCAGCCTCCCCCTATCATCATACACATACCCTCCAGCCTCCCCTATCACCATACACCTCCCTCCAGCCTCCACCTATCATCATACACCATCCCTCCAGCCTCCACCTATCATCATACACCTCCCTCGTCCTACCTCTCCCCCTATTCATCATACACCTCCCTCCAGCCTCCACCTATCATCATACACCCCCTCCAGCCTCCTCCTATCATCATACACCACCCTCCAGCCTCCGCCTATCATCATACACTCCCTCCAGCCTCCACCTATCATATACCCATCCCTCCAGCCTCCCCTATCATCATACACCTCCCTCCAGCCTCCACCTATCATCATACACCTCCCTCCAGCCTCCGCCTATCATCATACACCTCCCCCAGCCTCCGCCTATCATCATGACCTCCCTGCCAGCCTCCGCCTATCACCATACACCTCCCTACCAGCCTCCACCTATCATCATACACATCCCTCCAGCCTCCACCTATCATCATACACATCCCTCCAGCCTCCACCATATCATCATACACACCCTCCAGCCTCCACCTATCATCATACACCTCCCTCCAGCCCCACCTATCATCATACACCCCCTCCAGCCTCCGCCTATCACCATACACCTCCCTCCAGCCTCCACCTATCATCATACACATCCCTCCAGCCTCCACCTATCATCATACACATCCCTCCAGCCTCCCCCTATCATCATACACCTCCCTCCAGCCTCCACCTATCATCATACACCTCCCCTCCAGCCTCCGCCTATCATCATACACCTCCCTCCAGCCTCCGCCTATCATCATACACCTCCCTCCAGCCTCCGCCTATCACCATACACCTCCCTCCAGCCTCCACCTATCATCATCATACACACATCCCTCCAGCCTCCACCTATCATTCATACACCTCCCTTCAGCCTCCGCCTATCATCATACACCTCCCTCCAGCCTCCGCCTATCACCATACACCTCCCTCCAGCCTCCCCTATCATCATACACTCCCTCCAGCCTCCGCCTATCATCATACACATCCCTCCAGCCTCCGCCTATCATCATACACCTCCCTCCAGCCTCCCCCTATCATCATACACCTCCCTCCAGCCTCCACCTATCATCATACACCTCCCTCCAGCCTCCGCCTATCATCATACACCTCCCTCCAGCCTCCGCCTATCATCATACACCTCCTTATTTTGGGGTGACCATCCTAGATGTAATTTACACATATGCTAAACAATGTATGATAATTGTACTTATGTGTACCTGTACCTAAATAAACTTAATTGCTGAGAGAGCTCTTCCTTTAGGCGATGTTTCGCTCAGGACTGAGCTTAACCACGTTGTAACTAAGCTTGGTAGGATTTTTGAAGTATTCAGGATTTCCAGTAATTAGAATGCCATCATTAACAAGTAGCAATAATTAACGTTTTGTGAATCTCATTATTCTGTTCTCGGGAGAGCGGTAAGCCCTCAAAGGGCCACGCAGCTAACTGGGGGAACGAGTGGTCATCACTCAAGCTTGATGCTAAGAATCAAGAGCCCTTCACCACTCATCAAGGAAGACTCCGTGAAGGGAACATTACAGAGGCCGCAGCCTGAGACAGACTTCAACACACTGGAGGAAGGTAAGCCGACTGAGCCAGTAGCCTCTGGGGTGTGGCTGAGGGAGGGTGTACTACACGCGCTCTCCACACACACACACACGCCTACCCTCCAGACATCTTCGTAATATCATATATACTTAAAAACAAGGCGGAAATCAGTTTTTAAACGAGTGCCTCGAGAGTTGACAATCTTCATTCCATTTGTTCGTTGACAGCGATGCTTAGACCGAGGTGACTGTAAGGAAATCTGAGCGAAAATCGTTACGTTCTGGAGTTTAGAGAAGTTCATAACTCAGTGAGGTGGAAACATGTAAATGAAGTGATTATAAGAGAAGGTAAGTGACAACATTCAGTGTTGACTACTGTAAGTAGTTCGATTTTTTTTTTTATTCGCCGGTATTCTCCCGGCCCGGGTCTTTCCCAAGTTGTGGCGACCCGACCTTGGCTCCCTATCTATTATTATTATTATTATTATTATTATTATTATTATTATTATTGTATATTATTATTATTATTATTATTTATTATATTATTATTATATATATTTTAATTATTATTATTATTATTATTTATATTATTTTTTATATTATTAATTTTATTGTATATTATTATTATTAATTATTATTATTATTATTATTATATTATTATTATTTCGATCATGTAGAAACACTAGTAGAATTGGGAAAGGGGATTAACCAAGTTTGATCCATGGAAGGGGAGGCTTGCTCTAGATCCTCGAATCAAGAGCTTCTTAACAGAATCAACACTTGTCAATGGGATTGAGACTAGAGAGGTGAGGCAGCCTACCTTGTCCTCCCTGATGTAGACCCTGGATACCTGCTAGTTTAATAACTATCCGAGGGATACCTGCTAGTTTAATAACTATCCGAGGGATACCTGCTACTTTAATAACTATCCGAGGGATACCTGCTAGTTTAATAACTATCCGAGGGATACCTGCTACTTTAATAACTATCCGGGGATACGATTACATGTAGGTTTAATAACTATCCGAGGGATACATGCTAGTTTAATAACTATCCGAGGGATACCTGCTAGTTTAATAACTATCCGAGGGATATCTGCTAGTTTAATAACTATCCGAGGGATACCTGCTAGTTTAATAACCATCCGAGGGATACCTGCTAGTTTAATAACCATCCGAGGTATACCTGCTAGTTTAATAACCAACCGAGGGATACTTGCTAGTTTAATAATAAGCCGAGGGATACCTGCTAGTTTAATAACCAGTCGAGAGATACCTGCTAGTTTAATAACCAACCGAGGGATACTTGCTAGTTTAATAACCATCTGAGGGATACCTGCTAGTTTAATAACCAGCCGAGGGGATACCTGTTAGTTTAATAATCATCCGAGGGATACCTGCTAGTTTAATAACCATCCGAGGGATACCTGCTAGTTTAATTACCAGCCAAGGGATACCTGGTAGTTTAATAACCATCTGAGGGATACCTGCTAATTTAATAACCAGCCGAGGAATACCTGCTAGTTTAATAACCAACCGAGGGATACCTGCTATATATACATTATATATATATATATATATATATATATATATATATATATATATATATATATATATATATATATATATTATATATATATATATATATATATATATATATATATATAATTGCTTTACCGGCAGCACTTACCTGACAATGGATCGAGCCTACACCTCACCTTGCACTGAATGACCCCACACGGGTTTACTGCCTTCATGACACTGCTTCACGTATCATACGTGTACCAGAAGCGTGCTTCAGTATTTTAATTCTAAAACTGTTTAGCAACCTCATTTAATCTCAGCGTAACTGAAGTTATTGTTTATCATTAACGAAATATTATAAAAAGAACACCGACCAATTTTCTCAATCATAGGACAGCATGCTACTTGTAGCTCGACTTAATTGGCAAAACAGTCGTTGCTGAGCGAGTTACTTGGCCAGGTTGTCTGTGAGCAACCACAGTATTGTACATTAGTATCGGTTTACCTCGCTCTCTGGTCTGTTGCTTCCCAACAATCGTTCTGGTCCACTAACTGCTTCGTTCCAGGAGTGTGCTAACTGCCTCGTTCCAGGCGTGTGCTAACCACCTCGTTCCAGGCGTGTGCTGTCTTGTTCCAGGCGTGTGCTAACTGCCTCGTTCCAGGCGTGTGCTAACTGCCTCGTTCCAGGCGTGTGCTAACTGTCTTGTTCCAGGCGTGTGCTAACTGCCTCGTTCCAGGCGTGTGCTAACTGCCTCGTTACAGGCGTGTGCTAACTGCCTCGTTCCAGGCGTGTGCTGTCTTGTTCCAGGCGTGTGCTAACTGCCTCGTTCCAGGCGTGTGCTAACTGCCTCGTTCCAGGCGTGTGCTAGCTGCTTCGTTGCAGGCGTGTGCTAACTGCCTCATTCCAGGCGTGTGCTGTCTTGTTCCAGGCGTGTGATAACTGCCTCGTTCCAGACGTGTGATAACTGCCTCGTTCCAGACGTGTGATAACTGCCTCTTTCCAAAAGATGTTATTTCACTGTTAAATAAGTTGTAAAGCCATTTTTTATACATGTCTTCCTGTTAGTGAGTTTTGTGATGAAGAAACGACAGTAATGAGTGTTTTCATGGTGACTGAAGATTTCTTTTTTGACTGATGCAACTTACCATACCACGGGCGGGATAGAACCCGCGGTCAGAGTCTCAAAACTCCAGACCGTCGCGTTAGCCACTGGACCAGCTAGCCACAATAAGATTCTTATTGTGGCTAGCTGATCCAGTGGCTAACGCGAGGGTCTGGAGTTTTGAGACTCTCTGACCGTGGGTTCAATCCCGCCCGTGGTATGGTTTGTTTGCAATCGTGTCATTACGATTTCGTGAGTCATGATGGAACTTACTTCCAGCTGGTCGAAGATGTCCCAGAGGATCATGGGTCGGAGAGTAGTATTTCTGTCCCTCTCTCAGGTACACAGAGGCGGAGTTTCGACCCACGGGACCAAAACATTGTCTAAATATTCATCTCTAATTAGTGGGGTCAGTATTTTTCTTAAACTGGTTGAGTACATCCTCAGTGTGCGAGTATCCTGTAAGATACACAGTTACTTGAAGACAGTTTAGTCAACTCTCACTGTTGTCAGCCTGATCAGTCAGGCTGTTGTAAATGGTGTGGTGATACCTCGTCTGCGGTTCAAGACATTTATTCCTTTAATAAGTGTCCTAAGCTGTACACAAATGTCCTTTTACACTGATGGTGCTTGCTGCATACAATTCAACGTCAGCACTACAACAACCTGAGTGATCAATAATTTATTCAACTCAGCAAAGCAAGTTTGGGTGTGTGCGTGTGTGTGTGTGTGTGTGTGTGTGTGTGTGTGTGTGTGTGTGTGTGTGTGTGTGTGTGTGTGTGTGTGTGTGTGTGTGTGTGCTTGTGTGTTTTCCCAGGAAGGAGCCCTTACCAGTTTGGTACGAATTCATTTATGTGTTTGGGAAGGGAGCCTGGCGAGAAAACTTCTCAAGGTCGTTGCGCAAGTAAGCTAATAATAGAAAAAAGCCCATAAGTACATTTAGAGCGACCCTGGTCTCAGTACTGTGATGTTTACAATAAACTGTCCCAGTATTTGCATTTTTGTGTCTTTTTTCCAAAAAGTGTCGGTATCACATACCATTTTTAACCAGAGCGTTACGAAGATGGTACTATACTGGTGAGAGAACTGCCTGGGGTTGTGAGAGGCTGGTGTCTGGTGGTTAATTCCCAGCAATTCTAGGATTGTTGACCGGCTCCCTGACGACTCTAGTGGTGCTGCAGGTTATGCTGTGTCTCCCAAGTAGCTCTGACTCTTTGTATAACCCAGTTTAGTGTTACATACGTTGTATCAATCATGTAAGCTCGGACTGTCTTCTCATGGTTAAGATCTACATGTTTTAATGATTGTGAGTTTTCTGGTGGCGCTAATGTTTGATTTGGCCAGATGTGCATTGTGAGACAGATCTTGCATGCTACGTACTGGTCAAGCAGCATGTTAACATAGGTCGTAGTGAGTCGTAGTGTTTCAGGGGTGCTTAAAACGCCTCAGTATTGTCTTCACATGTCTGCCAAACTCACTATTGGCTTGGCAGACGGTGCATGGGGAGCAATGAGTACACTAGGAGACAACTTAGTAATGTGACCAAGACTCAACACTCCTTCTTCATATACAAGGGGAATTACCAACAGGCACTTAGCTGTCTTCAAACAAGGAACTTTATAAGTACAAGTCAATTCCTAATCAGCCGGGCAGTAGTGCATATTTTGGTGTGCGATCGGCTATCAGGCCGACAACTAGGCCTCATCTGGGACCGGGCTTCGGAGCCAATGAACTTCGAAACCGTACACGGGAGAGAGAGAGGTTTCTCCTGCGTAAAAGAAACCTGTGTGCAGGAGGTTACAGAGGACTTATAGGCGAGAAAGTTTTTTCAGAAAGAGTGCGGAAATACGAGTGTGTGTTGCTTGTCATGTAGCGGTATGAGTGATCAGTGATTGATGGCTCTGTCAGCTGATAACCACCATCTCCTGTCAGCTGAGTCGTATCGCTCACTGCCTTCACTGTCTTTAGTTACAGCTGCTGCTGCTGCTGCTGCTGCACTGTTCCACCTTCATTGTATGTACTACCTGAACTAGTGACAGTGAACACTGTATGTAGAAAAGTTCTTTTGTACGTGAGTTACAAGGTCTGGTACCCTGTGTACCCTGTGGTAACTTTCGTATCCTGTGGTAATTTTTGTATCCTCTGGTAACTTGTGCATTCTGTGGTACTCTGTGGTAACCTGTGTACCCTCATGATCCACCACATCAGCACACCTCTTGGTCCACCACATCAGCACACCTCTTGGTCCACCACATCAGCATACCTCTTGGTCCACCACATCAGCACTGCTCTTGGTCCACCACATCAGCATACCTCTTGGTCCACCACATCAGCACACCTTTTGCAAGTCAGTACATCATTAAATTTATGCACATCACACGGTGATATATTAAGAATGTCTTCACTCTGGTCTGACGCAAATGTTCGGTGATGCGGAATTGCGTACTTCTTACCAAAGAAGTTTTGGCTTCACCGGCGTCTGTGTCTGGCTTTACATGAGATGTTTTGGTTTCACTCTGGCTCTGCTGAGACGATGTAATACCGAGCAGAGAGCTTCTGAGCATGTCAGTTGCTCTACGAGTGTTCGACTAGTAACAGTTGATCAGTGTTTAAGATGTGAAGCAGATTGAATGAGGAGTTCTAAAGTGATAAACCAAAACAACTCACATCAGTAGTGTTGTTGACGTGAGTTTCAGTGCTGAGATTCACATGTAAAGTGTTA